TATTCACTGGGCTCTTTCCCCCAGATGCTGATATCTTTTGATCCATGGTTCCCAACTTGTCTTCTGCCCCCACACCTGAGGGAGAAGATACATTCCCTTAGGATTAGTGGCTCAGTGTAGCTGTAAAGTTTAAAGGGAGGGGAGGTGCAGTTTGAAAAAGCCATGCAGGCTACTCTGACGCTCATCCGCAACCTAGGTTTAACAGCATCTTAATACTGATTACTCCCCAATTTGCTGCATGTGCCTCCCTCACCCCACCCCTACCGGACCCACTGTTCACCCTTCTTTGCCCTTCTGTATGTCCTGGGAGACTGACCTTAGTGGACTGACTACCTTTGGCTAGACATGGGGTGAGGGGATGAGAGAGAGGGGTCTGGCCTCCCTCCCTAGCTCCCCGCCCCAGCATTCTTTGCCAGTGTCTGCTTCTCTCGGTCCTGCTTGATGGCCTGCTTCCTTGGCACCAGGGCACACCAGGTTCTAATAACACTGTTACCTCTCCTTCTCCATCTTCGGGGTGGTCACAGTTTCCAGCTCTTACTAGGCTCTGGGTGCCAAGGTCCCTTGCTCGCTTAGCCCTGCCCCCCATCTCTATTCGGAGATTCTCCATAAAAGCCTCTTCCTTTGAGCCAGCTGGGCTGAATTCTGTTTCCTGATAGACTCCTGGCTGATCCAGAGATCTTTGGACAAACACAAACGCTTCCATATTAAACAGTCATTGATTATAAGAGGCACCGGCTTTCAGAAATGTTCAAAGATCATCAAAATATATTGCTTACCACAGAGATATAATGGCAGATTTGCTTAGGCATGATGCATAGAGGACCATTTATCATTAAGACATGGAGTTTGCTTCTGGCCCATCAGGGCAGGGAGTACAGGTGACGGGCAGAGCACTGGGTGTCAAGTCAGGTGGCATGGCTCTGAGCTCAGGCTCTGACACCCACAGGCTGGGACATCTTGAGCAGGCTGCCTTGCCATTCTGTTCCTTGGCCTCCTCTTTGGCCATCCAGAGTCAACCCCACTGCTGTCACATCCCTGGCAGGCATGTTGTGTGAGGACAAGGGAGGCCATGTATGTGAAAGGTTTCACGAACTGTCCAGCGCTCAAATGTGTGGGGCGGTGCAGCGCAGAGCAGGCAGCCATTCTGGGATTCAGGTCAGGGACGAAATATCGGGCTGGAGGGACAAAGGAGGCAAAGCAACGGCCATGGCCGGCAGGGAGCAGAGACCCAGAGAGTCAGTGAGAAGACAGCCCCCAGCAGTCTTCTTCCCCTAGCCCACCTCTCTCTCCTCTGCTTCTCACACCTGACGTGACCTTTCCCTAAGCTGAGCCGTGATGCTAGGCTGTTTATTTATTCAGCTGAGAATTAAGGAGCACCTCTGAGCGTAGGACAAAGTCGTGTGCCAAGTGAAGTCCATGCTTTCCAGAGACCATTAAGAGAGAAACAAAGACATGCCAGTAGGAGGCAGGTCATGCAGTAAGTGTCCTGGGTAAGCAGAGGAAGAAGCTGGTGTCATACAGGCCTAGCTGCATTTCCAACTGGATCCCTAACCCACTAACCAAATCTCCTGGACAAGTTACTTAATCTCACTCTCTTAATCTGCAACCAGGGAATAATACCCACCTCGAGTGAGACAATCCCTTAAAGTAATGGGCCTGGTGCCTGACTCTGGGTCAGGACCATGGCCTCTATTCTTAGTACGTTATTCCAGGGAGCCAGAGGACCCTTTCTAACCGGGTGATCAAAAATGATTCCCCAAGAAGGAGGCAATAAACTGGGCTTGGAGGTTGAATTCTCGGTTTGGCATTCACCGTTTGGCTGAGGCATCAGCCGGACCATACGGCCAGTCCCCGCAGCACCAGGGCGCAGCTCTGTGTGTCTGGCGCTTCGGCTGGGACTGAAAGGTGAGGGCAGGCCGCAGGACGCAGGCCTCCCGGCGGGCAGAGCAAACGAGCCCAAGTTCTGGAGCTGGGGAAGACCGGGATCAAAGCGCTCCGAGGCGGCCGGGCGCACCAAAGGGAGGCTAGCGACTTGCATCAGCACAGATTCCGTGATGCTCTGCAGACGTCTCGGTGCTGCTGGGCTTTACGGGAACCCACAAGAAAGGAAAGGGCCGGGGAGCAGGCAGGGCGGGGGCGGGCGAGGGCGCGAGGGTGCGCTCGCCCGCCCGCGCGCTCCCGGCGGCGCCGGCCGGGGCCTGGGCGCGCCCGGGACGGCGGAGGCCGCGGAGGAAGCTCCCGCTCCCTTTCCCCCTCCTTCTCCCCCCCCCCCGCATTACTGGAAGGACTGTGTGGGAGAGACCCAGAAGCACCCGGATTTTCGAGTGCGGGGTGGGGGAGGGCCGGGCAGCCGCTGATGCTCAAAGGAAAACCAAAAGTGCATCTGTTCGGGCCGCTCCAGCACGCGGCTGCCCCCGGGAGGGTCCTGGCCGCGCCTCATTTTGCAGCCCCCCCAGATCTCGCTAAGGCACCTGGGGAGTGGGGAGGCGTGTGGCGCAGGAGAGGACGGAGAGGCGAGTGAGAAAGTGTCACGATTTCTTTTCCTGAGCTCTCCCCGACACCGTCCCCACCCCCAGCTTTCTGGTTTTGCCACTGCCGCTGGGGAAAGGGCTGATCGGTTTTGCGTCAAAGAACTGCATTTACTCAGTCCTGCTGGGAGAGGCGCGTAAACACCCAGGCAGGCAGAACTCAGGGATGAAACGACAATAACAACAAACACCCCCCCCCCCCACACGCGTCCCCGCGGCCGGTGTGCACATCCGCCGGCCGCACACCTCTCCCCGGTGCGCGGGGTTGGGGACTCCGCCCGGAGCGCGGCGGACGGAGGTGCGAGGGGTCTGGCCAGCCTCGCCTCGCCGCGCGCGTCCTTGGGGATGGAGCTCAGGACAGAATGTGTTTTATAGCTGTAAACAATGACCCCGAGTATTGTTTGGGATTACCGTATCTTGGGGCCATTGGGGCGGCCAGATGCCGCCAGCCGTCCCGGAAACGCCAGCGCTTTATATAGAGCCCCGGGAAAGCTTTGAGTTCCCGGCTGTATTTTTCTTTCCTAGCAACTCCCCCACCTTACAGATAAGGAAACTGAGGACCGGATCTGTGACGTGTTACAACGCACAGCGCTTCACAGGGTTCACAGTCTTCACACATCTTCCCGTCGGGTCCTCACAAGGACCCTGTGGGGTACAGATGGCGCCACTTAAGGGCCGGGGAAACCGAGACTAAAGCAGTGTCTGGACTAGAACCCAAGTTCCTTGACTCCTAGTACAGTGCTCCTCCGGATCGTCTCTGCATAAGAATTTAAGTTCCAGAGCTGGCAAGGGCCCTAGAGGGTCATCTTTCCCAACCCCTTCATTTTATAGGAAGAAACCGAAGCCCAGAATGGTTAAGGGACTCGCCCAAAGTCTCACAGCTCATAAATAGCACAGCCTGGCGTTCGTACTCCGAGGTCTGTGCTCTTTAACCCGCACCTCGCCCCGCCTCACCAGGCGAGGCGGGAAGACCCAGGAGTCCAGGCTCCTTGCTCCCTGAACTTCCCTCCAAAACAGCTGAAGACAACGTTGGGGCACACCCTCTGCCGGGCCTGCCTCCCTCCCTTGTATTTTTTTTTTTTTTTAATTCTTAACAGCCGAGTTTGCTTCTAACGCCCGATTACTATTAGATGCGTCCTAATTGTCCCGCACAGAGGGAGGCCGGAATGTCTTGCCTGGTTCATTTCTTCTTCAGGGCTACTCCTAACAAATTAGTTGTAGGGCCGGAAAAAAAAAAAAGTGCGTGTGTTCGGGGTTGGGGGGGTGGAGAGCAGTGGGCAGCCAGCCATGCCGGGAAAAATAGGTAGGTCGGCCCCGCCCGGCGGCGCCGCGCCCCGCCAAGGGCCGGCCGCAGGGCGGCGCGGGTACCCTGCGCGCCCAGGGCGCCCGCTGCACCGGGCGGCGCCGCGGAGGGCGCCGACGACCGCGCTTGGCCGCGCCCTCCCTGAGAGCGGCTCTGCGCGCCCGGCTCCCGGCCTCGCGGTGGCGCCGCACTGAACCGCCCGTCTCGCTCTTCAGGCTGTGATTATTTTGTAAAACCCGGCGCCGAGGCCCGCGCGGCCGCACTCGGGGGCCCCGCCCGGCGCCCCTTCCCAGGGCGGTGGAGGGGGAGGCCGCGGCGCGCTCGGGAGCCGGCGAGGGAATCCCTCTCCCTCCACGTCACCCGAAAGCGAGGGAACCCGCACTCGCGTCCTCTAACGCAAATGACCATCTTTGGCAACGTGCGCCAATGGAACAGACCAAGGGCGCTGGGCTCAGGGGTGCGCGGGGATGGGGAAGGGCCAGGGCCGAGGCCGCCTCGGCGCCCCCAAGCCGCGCCGGCGGTCTGCTCGGGCCCCGCCACCGCCTTTCTTCCCCGCGCGGGGTGTGCGGCTGGCGTCAGCGCGGCCGGGAGCCGGGGCACCGAGGGGAGCGCTGCGCCCGCCTCCTCCCGCGCCTCTTCCTCCTCCTCCTCCCCCCGCCTCCCCGCGCGCTCCTCCCTTGCAAGGTGGAGTCTGGGGTTGACGTGAGTGAATCCACATGGTACAGGGGCTGGAGAATAAAGAGTGTGGAGTTGAACTCGTGCCATTGTAGTGACTCATCTCGGGCAGAGCGCAGGGGCTCCGAGCGAAGCGACGAGCAAGTGAGCGGCGCTCGGCGGGCCGGGGAGAGAGGCGCGGCCGGGCGAGGCGGCCCGTCCGGGAGCGGGCGCCGGGGAAGGGGTGCAGTCGGGCGCCGCAGCGGCGGCAAGGGCAGCGGGACCGCGTCCCTCTCAGCGCCGGCTCAGCTGGAACCCCGCCGGCCGGGCGCAGGCTACCTTCTCCCCGCAAGTGTCCGAGTCGCTCCGAAACTCCGGCGGCGAGTCGGCCACAGGAAGTTTATTCTCAGCTCCTTTTCTAAAAGGAGGAAATAGAAGTTTCTCCCGGCGGGCAGCCTTTCTTTTCGCCTTTTTTTTCTTTTTGACCTGTCTGAAATCGGGGGGCCCCCGGACCTGGCAGGCGCGATCCGCCGGGCTCTTGTTCTTTTTTTAATTTCCAGTTTTTGATCGGGCAGTCTGTCCCGGCTGGGCTCCGGCTGCGCGCGGGAGCGGGAGGGCGCGCGCAGGGGAGGGACCGAGGGACGCGCGGACTTTTAGAGGGAGGGACCGGGTGGCGGTCCCGCGGCGCTCGGAGAGCAGGAAAGAAGTGCAGCGCGAGGCGCTCGGGAGGCACGGTTCCCGGGCTGTCGCCGCCTCCCGTCCGCACCCGCCACCGTCGGGGAGAAGCCCGGGAGCGAAGACTAGAGCCCGAGGCGCGGCCGGCAGGGAGCGAGCGCGCAGCAGCCGGTGCGCGGCCGCGGCGAGGGCGGGGGAAGAAAAACACCCTGTTTCCTCTCGGGCCCCCACCGCGGATCATGTACCAGGATTATCCCGGGAACTTTGACACCTCGTCCCGGGGCAGCAGCGGCTCTCCTGCGCACGCCGAGTCCTACACCAGCGGCGGCGGCCAGCAGGTAGGTGCGGGCCCCGGGTGCACCTGGCGGCGCGGGCGGACCCCCTCCCTCCGCTCGCCGCCACTGCCTCTTTTGCTTTCTTTTCCCATTTTTGGCTTGGCGAGAAAATTCCTACAGGGTCACCACTGCAAGTTTTGGATTTTCGTGTTGTCCTGCCCACCCTTCTCCCCCCACCACTTTCTTTCTTTTTTTCTTTCTTTTTTTTAATTGGACCGGGGAGTGGGCTTGAAGAGCCGGCAAGCCCTTTTCCTCACACTACATCTTCCCCAGACAATCTCCTGGAATTGCAGCCTCCTTTCTCAGGAGCCTGTTAACTCCTCTCCCGGAAATCCCTCCCTCCTCTCCCCTCACTTCTCCGTGGTGGGCAAAAAATCTTTGCACCCACTGGCCCCTCCCGACATCCAAGGACTCTGTTTCTGTGGGAGAGCCTTCTCCCTCTCTTCCCCTGCTCCCCATCAGTCTTAATTTCTGAAAGAGGTTAGGGATTTGGAAACATGGTTGGGCTCTTTCAAGTAATCCAGAGTGAGGGCGAGGGTTGTCGCTCTGGGAATAGGTGCGAAGGTCAGGAAGGAGGAGGTCAGCCTTGATAGGCTCGGGGCCTGCGCCTTTGTGCCCCTGCGCCCATCCATCTCCTGTTAGGGTCAGAGATGGAGCTTGTACTGCCAGCAGAAGGGGCGCCTTGAGGTTCTGGGGGTGGGGGTACCTGGGGCAAGGACGCCTGCAGAGAGAAGTGGGGGGGGGGAAGAGACCTTGCTTAGGCTCCTGGGTGGTTCTGGAAGCGGAAAAACAACTTGTTCTAAAGCAGCTGGACTGGTTTGCACTGGAAGGATTGTGCATGCGATCTGTGTCTATAAATACCAGAAAGGTGCTGGTGGGGTGTCTGCCCTCTGCAGGGGCCACCCCACCCCCCACCCCCCAGGCTTAAGAGGGAGCTGGCTTAACAAAGAAGGCCACTACAACCTGAAGCCCATCTCGGTCAGGATCTGCGGCGTCTCTAGCCAAGTTGGCTGCAGCAAGAGTTGCCTCGGTAAGGCAGTAGCCTTGGCCTCTAGAAGCCAGCCAGCCAGGAGAGGCTGGGTGGGCTTCCCCGGGAGGGGTGGATGCTGCCAGAAGATAAGATGGAAAAACGGCTCTCTTTGGGATCTGAAGAGGGATACCTTGTTCCAAAGTGATTACCCATACTTGGTGAGTCCCCAGAATGGCTTTTCTCTATCTCCCCTGGTGCCCCCATAAGCACCTACTGTAGAGAACCTAGTCGGGTGCATCGAGGGTGCATTCAGTGTACCCTTAATAATGAGCCCCAAGGTGATGAGCCTTAAATCTTGTCCAAAAAGTGATTTTGTTTGCTTTCCAGGCTCATTGGTGGTTTTAATTGAATCCAAATATCATTAGACAAAGGGTCAGAGTCATTTATACCCTTGCCCTTACTCTCCAATTCAACAAGCTGCCGAAACGTCCTTCTCCTCCTCCCTGAATCTGAAAGAGATCTTTTGATATCTTGTCTGTCCCTTTTGCTGCCGTTTTCGTGGCAGTTATCACACTGTAACATGGCAATCTTGCCGCCTGGCTTTGCTCAGACCCTGGGGCCTGAATGGGAAGTCAGACCGGACATCAGTGCCCCGATTGAATAATCTGTGTCACTAGGGCTTTGAGCCCAGGATGTGAGCAGAGGCAATTCCCTGTTTTGGAAGAAAATCAGACAGGAAACCAGTGCTAGGAAGAAGGAAGAGAACTCAGTCCAGCAGGGTGTAATGGGGCCTCATTACCGAAGCAAAAAGCAGCTGTGGGCTAATTCCTAGCATGCTGTAACACATGAGGATTTTGCAATTAGTAATAACTGGTGCACGGGCTTCTTGCACATACGCTTGCCTGTTTGGCCCTGCAGCTTGAGTGAGGTGCCTTTCAAAGCAGGGATTGGCAAGGTAATGCGGCTTTGGACAAGTTTCTCAGCCTGTCCACTCCTGGGGAAGGGGGTGGGCGGGGGGAAGGTTTTTCCATCATCTCTCCAACTTGGAGCAAAGCTTGTTCTGTGGTCCTCAGGACTGACCTGAGAGGCTTTTGTTACTTCACAAGTCTGCGCTAGGACCCCACCCGATCTCCCACCGGATCTCTCGGGCTCAAGGTAACTTTATTACATACCAGATACAACTTGTAATCACTTTATTTCTCTCAGCTTCCTTTGAGGGCTTTCCTGGCATTTAGTGCTGGGCCTTCCACCTTTGTGGCGTCTCCATGGACCAGTCGGTATAAGAAAAGAGGGTTCTCTGGTTTTCCCTTGGGCCAGTGAATATTATATTTTCCCCATCTGTTTGTGGGGTCTGATATTTCCGATAAGTTTGTTGCTGTCTACTCAACCCAGAACTTCTCTCTAGCTTAATAAAGCTTGATTTTAACACATGGCCGTGAGTTCCAGGGACTTTGGAGGGGTGGGGGGCAGATAACTCTTGGTTAAAACCACTCTTCTTGTATATGGCAGGAACTCCAAGCATGAAAAATATTTCCTGTTCCAGTTATAGTTTTAATCTCAAAGGTTGGTCATTGGTGATTTTGTTTTGTCTATAATCGTTGCACACACCTCCCCCTCCTGGCCTTTTCTGTTTATTGTTGTTGTTTTCTCTCTCTTCTAACTTTCCTAGGAAAACACCTCCCAGATATATGCTCTGCCTGGCTGCCCGACTATTACGGTTTCAGGGCCTGAGCATTACGCAATCAGCCAGTTACACAAACACAGGTCATTTCATAACTTGTTTTCATCAGCTGGGCCCCCTTTTAATGAAAAAACAAAACAAAAACAAGACCCAGAACTTTTCCAAGGCTGCCATTTGTCTGTTCCTCCGATAACTTGTGAAAATAAACCAAGAGGGACAATTCCTTTCTGGAATCAAGGACTACGAGACTAGCTCTCTTCTTCGGCAACCGCCCTTTCCCAAGAGACACAGAGACATATATGCATGCGCGCGCGCGCGCGCGCGCGCACACACACACACACACACACACACACACACATACACAAAATTCCCCGGAGTGAACTTTTGCCAACTGTACCAGGCTGGGACATTCCTCACATCAAAGAACTTTTACCAGAAATGACTGTGATTCCCAAGTCAGTCCCAATCACACCTCTCTAGTGCCCCCTACAGGACATTCTTAGAAGAACTGTCTGGGGAAGGTATTTTTCCAGCCCCAGACACTGTTAACTTGGTGAGTTTTCTGAATTCTTAGGATTTTTTTCTTTTTAATTCGGGACAGATAAATGCCATATATTTAACAGCGGTTAACTAGGAACTGCTTGACTTTGAAATGCAGTTTAAAAAAAATTTGTTCTAAATAAAACCTGGTTGAAAAAGGAGTGCTTTTCTTTCTTTCCCTATTTTGATGTTTGTTCTTTAGGGTGCCAGGAATTCAAATTCCCAAGGGTTGTTTTCTTGATGTGTTTGTATTAGGACACTGAGGATTGTTTGGGGAGGGGGCCTTCAGAATTTGTGGGAAGGTGGGAGGTGTATATTAAGGGTTTGCTGCCCCCCTCCCCCCCCCGGGTTTTTTTGTCTTTGATCTTATAGATGTTGTAGATTAGGATCAAACGAAATGTTATCCCAGGAATTTGTCTGTTCTACTGATTCTTGATGGTGGAAGTCAGTGTCACTTTTTCATCAAAGGGAACGGGGTGAAGTAGCAGTCATGTATTGTCTGAGCGGAGGTTGAATTTTCCTCTCCAAACCCGAGTGCATTTCCATTGCTTTATTTCTGCCTGCCTTATTGTTCAAGGTGAATGTCAAGTTAGTAGCCTCAGGGTTTTTTTTGTTTGTTTGTTTCTATCCTTTTTTTAAAAAAAAAGATTTATCTTTTTGAGGGAGAGAGAAAACACGAGCGGTGGGGGAGGGGCTGAGGGATAGGGAGAAGCAGGCTCCCCGCTGAGCAGGGAGCCCTATATGGGGCTCGATCCCAGGACCCTGGGATCATGACCTGAGCTGAAGGCAGAGGCTTAACCGACTGAGCCACCCAGGCGCCCCTTTTTGTGTCTATTGTGATGCAAACACACCAGAACTTACACATCCAAATCACTGTGGTGCCTTTTGTAATTATTCCTGGAGGAGACTAACTACTTAACTGCTATTACTCAGACTCAACATTTGACAACTCCTCTTTTGGAATCACCTTCAGCAAATTCTTTCAAAAACCCTCCCTGCCCACAAGTCTTTTTCCTTTGAGGCTGAATTTTGATATTTGGAAGTTATTGAAAGATGTGACATAAGGAATCAAGTCTGACATAGAAGGTCAGGGTGATCCAGCTGGGTCCAAGGTACAGTGTGACCCCGAGTCATCTTGGTCTCCATCTCAAGAGTCTGCCCGGGACAGCGGTCACCAAGACCAGGCACCTACAACCAGAGTAGGCACGTTTGCCATCCATACTTGAGATTTTTCTTTTCCTCTGTTAAACAGGAAGAAAGGTACTGGCTTTGAGAATTCAGGAAGCTAGGTTTGTGCTCTGTTTGTTGAGAGGAAAAAAAAATAGCATCATTACTTTGTGGACATGTCTCATCCATGTCGCACGCGGTGTCTTTTAATGGCCACAACATTTCAACATGACAGCAGCTGTGTGGTTGGGGCGAATGGATCTGTTTCCAACCCCACTTGGTAACTCTATCCCTCCAACTCACTGGGCCAGAGAGGGAAGCTAGGCGTTCTCTGGCCCAGCACCGTCTCTCCCTCGTGGTGACTCGGCCACGTTCACCCTGCCGTGGTTAAAGGGAAGATCAGATGCCATGTCCTTCCACTGAGTGCAAAAGGGGTACACAGAATAGTGGGAATCCCACCCCCATCAACCCCACCCCCACCATGCTTTGGAGTGGGGTTTCTGGCCAGAAGGGCCCTGGCAGGAAAGAAACTGGGGAAACTGGATGGTAACTCCATACTGACCACTTTCTTCTTTCTGTCCCTTGTTTTTCTTTTCTTCCTTGCTTTGCTTCACCCTGGCAGTTAGGACGAGGAGAGTGTGGTTC